TTCATTGTCACACTTATTTAACTTTCAATTTTTCCACTCCTCTAATAATCTTTTAAGAAATTAATGATAAAATCATGAACTGACGATTTTTCACAATTAAATTGAAAATATTTTATATTAATTATTAGATTAATTTATGGATCCAATATAGAGACTTTATGTGGAGATTGGGCTGATTATGTATATGAATATTTCGAATTCAAGTGAAAACAGTGCAGTATTTTGTATACTTGTGAATAATTTATTTGTTTTTACTATTGCTGTTATTAATGTGTCTGATCCCTATTAATTTGTGACAAAATTTGAATAAAATGTTTCCATTTTAACTTTGCTCTGATTTTAAAATATCACAATTTCATTAAAAATGAATTGTCATAGAAACCAGTGATGTTCTGAATGCATTATTATGTGCAGTGTAGAAGCTTAACAGACAAGTAAGTGCGATTTAAAATACTGAACTATTGATTTTGATAACACGCGACAGCCAAGGGAAACCATTTTCACCAATACTACGTTTTAAATTGACTTCATACATTTTTAAAATCTTACATTTGTTCATAATGGAAAATATAAATTTCTTTCTGACTGCCATGATTGTTTTCATGTTTATCATAATATCATAAAACTTACATGCATTATGTTCTCAGTTGAACGACTATGGGAGACGATTTCTTAAAACCCAATCATTTTTATGAGGATGTTTATGAGACAAATATTTTTAAAATGTGTACTAAATAAGTAAGTTTAATAGCTTAAATACATAATCAGTTTTAGTATGTATTATTGTATTGTTAACTTTTGTTTGGGAACATGTTATTAATTTAATTTATTTATGAAAATGATACTCCATGTTAAATTATCCAGTTATTTGGTAACTCTTATAACTTAATCATGGTCAATTATAATATATTTATTAATAGATTTGGCAATCAGTCAATTTAGTTAAATTGCATGTAGATAAACAAATATAAAATTGTATTTGTATATAGTTTAAACTTTAAACGATTTATAAAATATGGTATGATAATATAATATTATAATATGTCAAAAATGTGGGTATCTACCAATAATCTAGTTTATGACCTTGACCGATTAGATTATTATCTCAAATATAACGTATTTGACTCAAAACTAAGAAATAGTTGATTTATACGGATAATTTTATTAACTATTGACTATAGTTAAAAATAATAATTAAGTGAAATTGTAGATTTTGACAAATCGACGTATTAAAAATTAGTTTGTATAACAAAGCCATACATAGACAAAGTTTGTTTTAAACATTAAATTAAGTATTGCCAATTATATGACTTTATAAGTTTAAACAAATTGTTACATTATTTATATGTCATTTACGATTTCCGGTCTGTTTGGTAGATTTTTGTAAATTGTTATTAGATACTGTTCAATAAAAATAAAATGATCGATTAAGTATAATCAGCTTAAGTATACATTTTGAAATATGCTTACATCGCGTTCAATACAAATGTAGATGTAAACATCAGGTTTCTACAGTCTCGTATGTTTAATTAGATGGCGGCAAAAAGTAGGAACGGAATCTGTGTTTTGTTTATTTTGATGATGATACGAAAGTGTAAATACTTCTAAACTATTATTGGAGCAAATTTATTGGTGTCATGAGCTATTTCTATATGGCTATTGGCTATTATTTGTTCAGGATGTAATGTTTACACGTCGGGCTTTGGTTGTGGATTAATAATACGTTCGATCGTGCAGTGCGTACGTTTGTACTAGTTTGTGAAATGAGTTTAATGTTGTATACCTTTCTGGAAAATAAAATTTGTTAGTATTTTTTGAATATTGTTATGTATATAACATTGTATAAATGACTAAATTTGTTTTTTGATATACGTATTTATCGTAAAATATTTTTAATTCTGAGGACTATACAAACCATTATTTTTAAATATAGTGAACTCAGCTGATACATTTTATTTTTGATGGAATGTGTACCCCAGATTTTTGATTTAGACTAATATTGGTCGATCAGTTTTATGGAAATACATTAAAATTGCCATTTTTCGTTATATATTCTGTTATTTTTAAAATTAAAAATTTAAATTATATTGTCACTATTATTATATAGCAACATTAATCACTTGTTGTCTATGGCCTCAATAAGTAATATTATATTTAAAAAAAAATGTATATAAAATAATACCTTATAGAATAGGTCACACAACACTCATGGCAATCTAATGAAAAAAGAGCCACCAAAAACATATCCAACTTCAATCAAACATATCATTACAGAATGTAGAGACACGAAAGAGGCTTGACAAAAATACAATATACCTGATTACCTTTACGACGCACTGGGCTCCAACGAAGAATCCATCAAAGATATAATTTTACGTATGAAAGACATTTTACTGTACTATTTAATTTAAATTATTTAAGACCATATTATGTAATGGTCATGTCATCGAGGCTTTTTCTTTAATAAAAAAAAAAGAAACCTAATAGTAATTGTATCTAATTTTACACTTTTAAATCTTAGGCAGAAATATAGATGGTTATAGAATGTCCTCTTATTTTTATTGATGAGATCATTTTAGACGATAATTGAACTTTATCTGTCGTTCTTTAGCTTTAAATGATCGAAATTGTAGAAATTTAGACCAGCTGCACCATCAGAATAATCACTTTCCATTACCTCTTCGTTACTATCTGTCTATTCATGATTCATCTTTATAATTTTACTTGGGTTATAAACAATTTAATTTACGTTTGGTCTTTCTTTATATTTTTATCTTTTTTACTCTCACCCGTTTCTCTAATTAGTTGTTTATCAATAGACTTTCTGTTAATAGTTGACTACTTGTTGATTTTTCATTTTGTTTGGTCTTTTGTACAAATCTACTACTATGGAATTTTTACTTTAATATATGTATAGTACTTAGGAATATTCAAATATATCGTACTGAATATTATAAAACCATTTTAATTTAGACTAAAAGTTATTAACTAATTCGTTTTAGGAATAGTACGTAAAATTGTAACTATATCATTAAAAAAGGCATGTTATAAAAAAGATTTTTACATTTATCATTATTCTGGTTGATTGAACTCTCTTTGATTGGTTGAATTAAACCATGTATATATTTTGTGGTAATAAATTTGAATTCAACTATACTACGTAACATACATTATAACAGTTATGTCCAGTTGGGGTATAAATGTATAATAACCTAATTATTTATTGTAATTAAATTTATTAGGTTCGAGTACATAAAGGGTAAAATTGATTTATGATAATTCTAGGTTAATCATTTAATCATTCAATTTAAAATCTACAAGTTTTCAGAAGATTGTAAGTGAAATAGATTTTTAAAATAAATGTGTTCGTTATACCTTTTCTACGATTATAGCACGACTCGAAGAAGTTGGAGAAAATATTTTTTTTTTGTCCTAGTGCATTTATACTTTGACTTATGTATATATAGTTATATTCCAAAAAATGTATTTAGACTTTCAAATAATGATATATGCGTATGTTTTATTCAATGAAAATTTAAGTTCATTCAATCCCTATATTGTTGAACATGAGTGTAAGACATTCATATTATAAAATTGAAAAGTCTTTAAAACTATTATTGAAAAAATTTAGTTTGTATAATCAATGTTCAATACGTTTAAACTTATATACTTTTTTGAGAAGTTTTTATTAGATTAGTGGATTAAATGTTCATAAATATTGTATTTTGCATCACTATTAATATTAATACGATGTCATGTTTTCTCAAAAAAATGAATAGGTATATTTTTATAACACAAGTATTTTTTAAGGAATGTTTTATATATTATTATTAGTAGTAAGATCTTATTTTAAATAAAATAAAATATATAAATTATAAGTACACCATGTATGTATAAAACGAACAGAAGTTTTTTATTTTTTTTATTTTACACAATAATATATGCAATCTGTACATTTATGCACAATTAGCATATTTGATAAAGGTTACAATAATACATGAAATACGTGATAAGAAGCCACCCACTGGTGGCTCTTGACTAGATGTTGTGTGAATCTAACTATATATTATATATACTGATTTTTTTTCTTTTTCTTCTTTCATATTAGTTTCCTAACAAGTCAAGAACTGGTGGAAGCACCAAGAACAGAAGTTAAATTATAAACTCAGTGAATAATGATTTTGAGTGAAATTAAAAAAATTAATGTAACAAAAGAAACAATTAAATCAACAATAACGTCTAGAGAATATAAAATAATACAAAAACTATCAATGGATGATGGGTGTTCATTGTTCAAATGCGTAATTTTTGACTATTTAAAAAAATAGTTAGGGCAAATAAGAATGAAAGGGGATATGTAAATGGTTATAATATTTCTTGTACTGTTTAATGAAATGTATGTTTATTAAATTTGATTTCTGTTTTCATGATTGAATTTCTAACCAACATTCAGAAATTTGATGTTATACTGTTCCAATTATTTCTTTTTATTACCGGAACATTGTCATAATTTATTCTTGTGAACAATTTTGAAACGAAATTAAAATCCATATGTACCTACTACATTTAAAAAAACTTAACTGCAACTATCGATCATTTTTATAATTTTATTGAAATACTGTGTTCTTTATTTTCTTATTGATATTTTTATCGATTACGTTCAACTTTGATTCATCGGCTTAACACCCTGTAAACATTTAACAATAGGTATTCTTAGGACAATTGGTGTGTGTCGTATTTGAAGTAGGAGTGCTGCAGTCTTCGGAAAACGCTCCATTGCTCCACCTTAACAAACTTGTCTATATGGTAATTGCTGTAGATGTGAATATCTAGTGTCGGTTCTTAACAATAAAGAAGATTGTTCGACGTTTAATTTATCAATATATTTATAATATATAATAATAAAATATAATTTTATTTATATATCTTGTAAAAGACATATAAGACTTATAAGACTTATAAGCTCTTAACTATATATGTACACTTAACTATTACACCTTGGATTTCGATGGACAATTCACGTTACTGCTAAGTACTAATAACATAATATTATATATTAGTTAAGTGTAAAGACAAATTGTGGATCAATTAATCGTCTTCAAATTAACTGTTCTCTTTAATATCCTTTAGAATACCTGAAATTTAGGATTTGGTATAATATTTTATTTTCCATAAATCTTGGTCCGTCTTTCGATCATGACTGAAAACACTATTCATGGTATCCTAAACGAAATAATTGAAATTGAAAAAAGTCACTACATATATTATCGAGACATGAAGCATATAAAAATCAATGATGGCTGACCTTTACAATGGATGTCATATGATTATTATGCTCGTAAGCGTTGGCCTTGTGCTTTGAAACTGCTGCATGGAAAAAGGCGGAGACCGGTGTAGTATTATAGAATGTTCGAGTGCTTTTGTGGCTAAAAAATTAAAAAAAAAAAACCATTTCTTATTTTTGTAGTCTTGCATGTGTGTAATAATATTTATGTCGATGCGCTCAACTATGCATTTTTAATTTATTGCATTATTTATGTACCAGGTGCATCAACAGCTGGCTGGTTGTTCTGCCATTCCATATGCCTGGTTTATCGGTCACTGATCGATCGATGAGCGTACAGACAGGGTTTCATAAAACATTATACTATATGACATACATAAGAAGTTAATTACGATTACGAATAGTATAGGAATGCGCGAGTATATTTGTCCAGATTTTAAGAAAAATATCCATGTCTATTACGAGATGAATTGTATTTATCTGACTTCAAACAAATAAATACTGTGTATTTTTTCTTGTGTGTTATTAAGGGCAACCAATTTAAATCTCTCAGCTCAAAATCTATAGTATAAAACCTAGATACCTATTCACTATTCATACAAAACAATTTGAATAAAAAAAACCGACGCTTTTTTTTAGTTAATTAGGTACCAATCTCGTTCTTTTTTATTTGCTCTTAAAAATAAAATGCATTTTAAAGTTACACGACAAAATTAAATATAACAACGTTAGAAAAATTATAACAAAAGTTTCGGATTTTTATTGAAAAAAAAAATACTATTTTATGGATGAGTATATTAATATTTCCATGTACCTACCTAATCTACCTAATGTAACGAATGAACTGTTTAACAATTTTTTTTTTACAAACTAGCTATTTTATTTGAATTTATTAATTAGTAATTCTAAATTGAGTTCAAAAGTCATCATCATTAAAACTTGAAAGTCGTTTTTTTTTATAATCTTCATGACTACAATAAACTAGTTAGAAACTCGGCCTGGTTGAATTAATTCAATGAAAATAAACAAAAAACAACAATTAAAATAATGTTATAATATGTATAGTATTTATTCCAAAAACTTGAAAAAAAAAACCATATACTTTATTATTAAGAGTTGAGTATTTAGGTACAATACATTTTAATACTAGTTAATCATTTACAAATTAATTTCTTCCTTACTTATTTTAATTTTAAATTTATTATTTGTGAAAATAGAATCCCATAAAAGATTGCCAGCAAATAGTTTTAACATTGAGTAAAACTAAATTTCGTACTATGTGCATATATATATATAAAAGTTATAACTATATACATACTAACATCGGCTTAAGCAATTTGAGTGTTATTGTTTATTATAGGGTACTAAATTATACTATATGATACATAATAAATGTATAATAACCACTTAGATTACTAACATGAGTAATGTTTTATTAACTTTTTTTTATTATCTAGCACCTAGAAGTATCTTGTACTATTGTATCTGTGTTATTTTTTTATGCATTTTTAAATTTTGTCATTTGATTCAATACATGTAACTAACCCGGATTACACTGAACTTTATTTATTTTCTATTGTACCTACACGATAAATTGTGTTCAGTTTTAATTTTCTTTTATCAAGTATAAATTCTAATTTTTATTAATAAGAAGCACAATATTTATAATATGGTATGTGGATTACCTACAGTTTATTATTTTTAAATGTTCAAATGAAATATCATATGTTTTTAAAAAATTAATACATTGTCTTACACAAACCATTTTTATGATGCCTGGAAAATCAATACAATTATGTGGATTATTTTTAAATCAACATTAACATTATGTGCTCACAATTGATATTACTTGTTTTATATTCATATATTAACACTCATATTAGAGTATTAGAGTATTATATAATTTAAGATTATAAATATTTGAGCCAGAGATAACATAAATAATTGGTATTCTATTTTCATAATTAAATGATTGCTTGATGCGTTATAGTTTAATATATTATTTCTAAGTATTTTAATATCAAAAGGAAAACCTAAATCATGTTAAGTTTTCAATTTATTTTTTTTAATTAATAATTAAAAAACTATTGTTTATAAGTGAAAATTCATGTAAGTACACATTTTTCTGTTGTCTATTTTCATATTTATAATTTATTTGTTATGTGATATAATTACTTATAGCTGTTATTAGTGAGCACGACATTTATGGAAACTGTCATTACGTTATTAAACTATTAAAGTTATGGTTAGGTGGTATTACTTTAAGCCGTAAGCTATAATAAACTAAAAGCTATAGAGCTCTCGAGAGTTGTAGGATGTTGATCTTTGACATCGGGTGTGGATTACTTGTCAGTCGTCATATTTCCATATAATAAACTACCGTTAATAGTGGGTGTTAAAACGTTCAGAGTTTTAAATCTATTGGATGTATTCAGATGGGATCTACTAAAACGTAGAAGTAAGAAATTGCTTAAAACGCTTATTACAATATTTATAATTATAAAAACATATTATTTGAAAAAGTTTCATCGTGCCGAGCTTATTACGGTGCTCCACGCTCCACCATTTTTTTTTTCATAACATAGTGTCGAGAAAGAAAATAATTGTCTATTTCGTTTATTATTCAGCACAACTGAAGTTGCAGTAATTGTATTATATTTCATGTCTATGGTTAAACTTTAGTTAATTATTGTACGAGCTTTGGATTACATTTTGATAAAGTTCGCTGGATAAAATGTATAAAGTTAATGGATAAAGTTATAAAATTGATACTGGTTATTTTTTTATTGTTGGAATATATATAATTGAAGTATGGCAGAGTTTAACTTAATTTAATATGTTTTATTATAAACAGTTGAACACTTTTTTTCTGGGTAAATATTCAACCGAAACACTAATATTATTTTTCTGTATATAAGTTGTATTTAAAAACTATTTTGGCATAGTAACTTTTAAAAATTAACTGATTAGTCATTAGTCAGGGATAGTTGATCTTTCATTGTTTTTATTTAATGCCAACTTAATTATTTTGTTGTTCAACCATGATAACCTGATAATTCAGTTGATTTTATTATCATTATATCGTTAATTACAAAATGATAAATACTGTATATACTTCGATTCAAGGCTTTCAAGCGTTATGTTTATGCCTTTAAACACAATAAAATGCTATTTTATTTTTAAAACGGAAAATGATAAACGAAAAAAATAAAATATTGCAAAATCATAATAATGATTAACAAAATATGTATAGAATATCAAATAGAGTTTTGAGAGAAACATTTAAGAAAAACGAAACATAATATAGAATTTCATAACGCAAATAATAACGAAAACCAATAAGTTAAATAAATTAAATAAAAACAATTAAAATAATTTTATATTTCTGTATCATGAAAATTCAATTTTTTTTTCTTCTATGGTTTCGGAAAAATATTTTTCCGCATGATTTATTCCTAACTTAGAAAAAAATCTAAGCATATATTCCGTATTCAAATCATTACTGCATTACCAATTAAATACTATAATCACCGTTGGTATTCGACTGATAATATTCTGTTCAGACCTCGTCGACGGTTTCGATTGTAGTGCTGAAGTCAGTCGACGACGATTGACGGGATAGATGAGATGTTGAATGTATAGGATTTTCTTCAATGTGATTTCCGTTTGTCAGCTACTCAGTCCCGATGAAAAAAAATGTCACCATTAAAATAGATGTGAAAATATACCTTCAATATTCTGTCAAATAATGAACGCCGTTGACATTGGTGAAAAATATCATCATTAATTTTATTCTCAACCATCTACAAAAATTAAAATGGCTGCTGCAATACGTATTTAAAAAAAAAAAAAACATTAATATTAAATTATGGTATTGATAAAACATTGTAGAATGGTGTTTCTATTAAATATTTTGATCTACAGCAATACAGAGGTATGAATTAAATATTATATAATATATAACCTTTTGAATATACCTTATTAATTATTGATAATTATAAATAGTTGGAATTTTTTTTTCTCGAAAGATAAGTATCGGAATGAAAATTGAAAAAGTCAACTTCTAAAGATGGTCCCTGGAATTGTTTACAAATGAATAAAAACCAAGTATTCATTTATCAAAGCTCTTTATGATGTAATTATTGCTGAACGTTTTTTTATTACCTAACGAAAAATAATACCAAGGTATACATGATTTAAAGTATATTATTTTTCAGTTACATATCAGAGAATGTAAAAACGTCAGCGTGAAAGATTTAGCGTATTTGGTTATTCGAGTAATCGATACAATGCAAACAGATCGCTTAATATTAATTTATATTTTACGAAAATTAGAAAAATACCTAACAAAACAAAACCACTTTAAGATAAATAGGTTTCAAATTAGAAAACTAGGAAAACTAAAAAATATTAAGGACATGAGTCTTGACACTGTAATTGTCTTCGTATAGAGTATGAGCATATTAATCTTGTTAAGAGTGTGCCGAAGTTATAAACTCGCAAGACCGTCGGTGGCTATGTTGATTTTGTGTCACGGTGATTTTTTCATATTTTGATTCACAACGCGTTATCCTTCCTACCGGCTAGTTATTTCGATAATGGCTAACTATTGAGACTGGTTAGAAAATTGGTAAAGACAGTGGGGAGGGGTTTTTTTCTGAAGGTATATCGCCACGTGGGGGGTCAACCGTTTTGCTTAATAGGTACTTACCCTTATGTAAAATAGTTTATTGGGCATAATTATAATAAATTACATCACAAACGTGATAATTAGGCATACATTTTTCTATATTATTTTTTTTGACTAAATCAAAAATTATATGAAATACAGGTGTTCTAATTTTATTTCATAAAATATGTGTGTAAAACTCTATTCCAAAAGTGCATAATTTTTTGCGCATGTTGACTAATGGCTACTAAGATAACTTTGACTTCTATCGCACTTTACGCATTTTTATATGATGGTGACTTTTCCTAACTATCCTTTTGAACTTATTCGCTTAGGTTAAATTAGTTAATAAGCATTAATATGTTCCAGGTTCCCGTAATGTGCATGAGGAAATATTTTGCATAATAACTGGTGGAATAAGTAGTTTACTTAATATGTAATGCAACTAATAACTATAGACAAAATAACATTATTGGGTTTATAAAATGTTTAAATTCTTATCGCTTTACATAAGTCGAAAAACAATTGTTGTAACTATGGCTAATGACGTTTAGGGATAAACGGTTAAAAAAAAGTTTCTTATCGTTGATTAATGACAGCATGACAAGCGAGAAAAATATCGATTAAAATTTGTTTTCCAGTATTACGCCATTGGCTATAGGTTCCTTGACTAGATATCTCTATTTTACGTGCCAAAGGACTTAAACATTAATTGAAAATGATGACTGTCATATTTGAAAGCTACAACTATACAACTATAAAAAAGCAGAATTCGTATAAAATGATGTCCGATCTCTAATAAATATCAGACCAAAAGAGTATTTTTTATTTTTTTATTTTTTAGTATTTTTTTATAATATTGATTTTTAAAATACTGTTTTGTTGGTATATTCTTGTTTTTAGTTTTTATGACAATATTGTAGCTAAACTGTCGTTATTTGTACATTATTTTATCAGAGTGGATAAAATAATTTGATATCAGTTTGAACTTTAAAAAAAAGTATTTAGTCATTTAGATTTCTCACCATACTTTTCTAGGGATCAGATAAATTGATTTTCATCTATATTTTTTATCTCAAATCTAGAGTTTATATTATATTTCATCGGTTTTACTTCCGATACTTAATATAATTAATACCAATCCATGATCATAATATATTTATTATGCGACACATAAATGAACGCAATTTTGAATAAAAAAAATAATTGTTTCTATATAATAATTTTGATATAATACTATTATAATAATTGTATACTTACACATAATCTTAATACTCATAAGTTGCCTTCATTATTAAGTAGATTAACTATTTTAACATTTAATTTACAGAAACGTCTTATTCGACGTGACGATGTATATATATAGTATACATATTATGTGTTTGGCGGAAATTGTTATACATATGATTGATGAAAAAATTTTTTTTTTCTTAGTAGTGAAGTGATAAATGTATATAAATATTAAATAATTTTGTATAAAAAAAAAAGAAAAAGGAACTATTTTGTCTATAAATACTACCTTAACGTCAATGTCTGAGTTAAAGACGACTTCATATATTTTGATCTATAAAATAAATATACAACGAATTTAATATAAAAGTAGAAATTAAAATGAGGGGATTTATAATATTTAGGGTACACACAGTTGCAAAGCATTTAAATGGTAAGGGCTAGCCACTTAACTGCCAAGAGTATACTATGGGTAATATACTTACGCAGACCCGAGTACCCGACCCGCCAATATAATTATATCTCTCTCGTAAATCTCGACCCGTGTACACTATTAACAGCAGTGTTAAACTAATATTATACAATAATAAAATGATATCTCGATTGGAAAACGCACTGCCAAAATTATACTTCATTATTAACTTATCATGCTTTATAAGAATGAAATAAATTAGAATAAATTTAAATAAATCATTTTCACCGTAAATACTGGAAATAATCGTTCTGCAGCTACTGGTTATTGTTGTATTTTGTAAATTATTTATAGTACATTTATTATTTTCTTTGGCCATATACTAATGAAGTAATGAGTGTATATATCGACTCTTAAATTTTTACACAACCGTATTTTCCATGCGTTGATTATACTTAAATATTTTCATTTATATGATCTATTGAGTGAGACTGTTTGTGTGTTACAAATACAGTCATGTGACGTATAAATTAAATATGACGCTTACCTATGTTTTAAAAATGCGACGAAAATATTATGAAATATTTTGTTTGTTTTTCTAGAATTTCGACTGAAACGTATAATAAATATTTTATTTTTTTAGCATCAGACACACATAATAACGATCGAACACATTTGTTCGATGACATTCAATACGTAACATATTAAATTAATCGTTTTTCGTAGACTGCTGGTACACGACTATACACATATAATAGGTACAGGTACATGGGTTCATTTAAGCACGATTAATAAATAGTTACTCATTGAATGTACACTAAATATCGGTACCTACTTTTATGTTATAGAGTAAAATGTACTCGTATTTCGTTGGTGTGGCAAAAATAATAAACTGATGCTCGTAGATTAATTACAGGCTCTCGAATCCAGAAATTAAAAAAGGAGGGGGATAGACACTATAAATTATTTTCAATGTGTACATACTACATATCGGGTTTATGAAAAATAAAAAAGAGAAACATAACATTATTTAGTAAATATATTACACGAGAGTGCATTTAATAGGTAATACAGATGCAATGCAGCACGTTCAATATTACATAGTACTATAATAGTAGTGAGCGAGAAATAATATTAATAAATAAATACAATGATTAAACGAAAAAGGCTCCGATTTCATTTTTCTCGACATCCGAGGAAATAATTTTCAATACACCCACATGGTCTTTTCATAGATTGTGCATAATATGGGCTAACGGCTAATCCATTAAAAATGTTTTTGACTCATCGCTCGTCGTTCTCGACAACGAATAGTCCATGATAAGATTTGCGATAAAGTTTTTGTTTTGAGAAAAAACTCATCACAATGCTCTAACGTTTCAATTACAAGAAATGTCAGAAGAAAATTCCCAAAGAGGGAAGTGAGAGCCCTCTTATCCCGTCTTTCTATTTATCTCTGATTAATTATCCAAACGTTTTTAAAATGTCTGTACAACATAATTAAAGAAATAATAATTAACGTAATAACATAATGTTTTAAAAAATAGTTTAATCAAATTCTGGTGGTAAAATTATCACAGTTGTGTAGGTTTTATATATTTTTTAAAAACTATGTTTTAAGAAGTTTAAGTGCACTAGAATTAAGATCAATTTTTAAAGAAAAATTGCTAGTTTAAAAAAAAAAATGGTGAGATTTTTGAAATTCTCTGTTTTTATGAGCTCGAAAGTGCTGACTATATATCATAAATAAATTCAGTATAAGTTAAAAAAAAAAAAATCAAAAAATATTTTTGTTAGATTCGTCCCCCGTAACTCGTAAGACATTACAATCGACAATCCACCTGAATATTGCCAATCCTCCACATGTTTTGAATAGAATGCTTTTTATATTTAAAATTTAAATACTTATTTTGTTAATTATCATTCATTTATTTTTTTCCCATGTTTGTTATAAAACATTTAATTCTATAGTTTTTTTTTAATGTTTATTTTTACTATGAAATTTCCTGCATATATATGTTTATTTATTTACTTCAATAACCAATGTAATAAAGGACATATGTTTTTATTTGAAAACCACCATGACATGGGAAAGCCGTACCTGTTATCTGTTTGCAGAACATCCTATCAATTGCGTTTTAGACATCTTGTAGGATCAACATGAATGAAAAAATGATTTTAAATTTAAATTTATTTCATACAACACCATACAATATTTTACTACTAGGTTACTTTAATTGTGAATATCATGTATTTGAAAGGTGTTTGGGCATATTTTGCTCAAAGTATTTTTGTCCATAAAATGTTAAATTGTACCTATATACTATATAGTCGTAGTATTTA